GAAACTTAAGAAAAATCTTGTTTGGAATGGAAAAAAGATGGACCAGATGTAGCAACTTTACTACTCGCTATTAATTCTTTTACAACATCGAAGATCAGATCATAAACGTATTGCATGTCAGACCCATATGTGCTGGAACTGTCCGATCGTTTTATAGCGACCGTAGAATGGTAGTTTTATGGTTTTCCCCAAGCAATCGTTATCTTTAGGCTATAGAACCTTAGAACTTTGCTTACCAATCGGTAGAGATAAGCTAGGCCCAATTGGCAGTGCTGACGTACACACTGAGCGCAGAAAGAAAATTCAGAAACCGTTCCCGTTCACGATAAATTGTTTTCATTCCTACTGTTGTTTTCGATTACTTAATAACAGACTTGTTGGTGAACACAAAAATGCCTACTTTACGTAGTGTGGCTCAAAAAGTTGGAAGTTCAATTGCCCATTTAACTGCCACAAGAGTTTTACGAGATCTGAGTTGAGTGGCTTATTTCAGAAAGGAATTCATTGTTACTGGAAGCGTTTTCATTTTGATTAATGATACTAGGATGATTTTGCAACAAAAATGTCATGCCAACGAATAGAAAAATGTCGATCGGCTTATTTCTTTACTATCCATAAGAGCTGCTTCAGCAACTTACACAAACTCTCCAGCGATCAGTCCTATGCGCGATAAGTATGTTGATAAAGAATTTATCAGGAAGAGAAGTCGTACGAGTTTCCACGGTCAGGTGGTATCTATCTGTGGAATTCCTTAGTGGTGCTTTTAGAAAGGACAGTAGAGGTCATAACGAAAATGCAACGGCTGTGTTTCATTGTCGCAGTCATGGAAACCGGCATTTGGCTATGCATGGAGCTCTTTGCTGAAATGGTCCCCGACGATGAATAGAAGAGTCGAGTGGTTGTGGGGACCAGATGGTCTCTGTGAAGGATTAGGTCGAGGTCAGCAGGGTTCGTCGGTCCTTTGGTCCCGGTTCCAATTACTATGTCAATCAAGGCAATGGTCAATCGGCTTAGAGAGATTTTTTGGCAAAGACGCTAGTCATAGAAATAACATACGTATTAGTCGATTAACCCAAAAGTAAAGCTGCCTTATCAGCTCAAAAGGCTGAGCTTTGTTTCGCTCGATTCAGTTTTCGAGATGACAAATGTCTGGGACAAGATCACAGACGCAACTGTAGGTGTAAAGCGAAGAAACCTTTTGTGGCAGATGACAAAAGCCTTAAAAGAAGTTTTCCTTTTTTTTCGTATTAGGCATCTTCGCTTTTACACCAACCTACACAGTGCTTTTATTTTCACAGCGTTTCTATTGCCCGTAAATCTACATAGATTCGGGAGAAAGTGTTCTTATTTGCAGCAGAGCCTTGTTTCTGTGTAGGGTTCCCTGTTAGGATATCAACTGTGTTTATAAATGGTTGTCGATGTTGTAAACAACCATCGTTGGTGTACGTTAGCGAAAGATTAACTAGGAATTTTCCTTCGCGAATGCAATGCCTTTCTTTTTCTTTACTACCTTGTATCTTTTTTTGTAGTTCTCGCTTACTCAAATTCTTCAAGGGTACTGTATGTGCTGTAGTACTTCAGAGAGTACAGGAGGTAGTCTATCGCAGACTTCCTGACTGTGAACTCTGATTTCAAGTGTGATTACTGTGCCACAGGGCTTTTACAGAGTAGTTTTTTCCTTTGATAGCTTCCAGGTTGTGGAAAGGAATATCTGGCTATATTTCTAGCAGTAACGGCCTTCTTCATAGTTTTTATTGAGGATGCAAACCAAGGCTGACATTTTCAGTTTGTAGAATAATCAGAAGCATGTTGTGCATGAAAAGCATTTTTTTCATATTCCAGGTAGCAGCTGTTCTGGCTTCATAGAGGTTCACACGCTTGCTAAACCCTTCTGGGTGATTCTACTTGTAGGTTTGAAGGCTCGGTTCTTTGCGACAACGTGTCTTAGCAAACCCACAAGGAGAATCCCGCGAGTGTGAATTTAATCTATCCCATTCTCAATATTTCATTAAGGAATTCTTCTAATTATGTGGATTCCTGCGAAAGCCCCTTCATAAATTCGTCATTTCTCATTTGGTGTCATGCCTCCGAGGTAGCTGCAAATGTCATTCGACATTCGAATATTGTCAACTAACAGGAAGGCATGAGGTTCAGGCAAAAGACAAAAATAACTATACGGTCACTGATTAGAGGCCGGGAAGCGGATTACCATAAACTCGTGACGATACCTTACTATCAAATTTCGTGCCTAATTCACCCTCCGCCGTAATAGCTATGCAAATCAGGTTACGCACGATTGTTTGTGTTTGAAAATGCACCAATCGACGATCCATGGTCTAACGGAGTTTCTCCGTGCGACATAGATTTGGAGCCTTAGTTACAACTTCATTACTCTAACAAGATCCCTTGACAACGTTCGTCGTTCGAAGCCTAAGGAAGCTAACGATCCTGACGCTGCCCGTGATGCTTGAAAAACTCATTCTATGTATGGCTAAAGTACATTTGCTGAATGTTGTTTAGAGAAAAATACCGTAGTGGGGATAGGGACGAGATGGCACCGACGTCAGCACATCACGGAGTACACGTCCGGCGCCTTCGTACCCCGTGGGTGGTCCTTGGGAAGTTTATCGATGGCGCGTCCGCTGCTACTATACGAATTGTTATAAGTTTGACTAGAACAAATTCGATAGTATGTAGTCAGGAGCGGAGGTTATGGACGCTCACCGAACGTCCGTGACGACCAATCGAAAACCACCTGTCGAAAGGTCACGGACAACGACGACGACGATCTCGCGTCACGATCGTCGTTTTATGCGACGCGGATGATCGTGGCGAAAAACCGTCGTCCGCTCTTAAACTGCTAATGTCAGTCGTCCGAAAGTCAGAAAGAAACGAGCACCTAATATGATTACGTTGAATTCTTATTTTTATCACTGTGATAGCGGTCTAGAAGCTACTCATTAGCAGGGAAGAAAGAGCCTTGTTCGGCTTTTCCTGAGTTCAGTGGTGTTGCAGGGACCGGAAGGAAGCCTCAGGAGCTTTCCAGAGAACATTTTTCGGACTGTCCCTTTTAAGCTGTTCAAACTCCTAAGTGGACCGATATTTGTAAGCTAGAGCACTTCTATCAGGAGTGTTGTCAAGTGTAGATAAAGGCGTTTTTTACTAGCCTCGATTGTTCTCTGACGGCAAACTTGCCACTGCAATCCATGTAGGTCTTTGGAGTTTAGAATTNCATATCTGGCACTATTAGGTCGGAAAACGGCATAGTTAGGGAGCTATAAAGGCTCAAAGACTGGCCCGTGTGTATCCTCGGACGAGTTTCACCGGCATTGTAGACAACTTGGAACAAAGACCTTAGGACCATAACGACAGTGAAAGACAGTTCTGTACAGTTCAGGCTTGATGTAGTCAGCTCTTTGCGCAATTGCAACATATGAAATCTCATCTGAATACCCCTTCCATGTTGTTTCCATCATGGTGATATTGTCCAAACTCTATTTTCCCTACTTTTGAGAAGCATATTTTTCTCCAAATTATCGAATCTCTCGTTTTCTTCAGTACCGATGAACTATTCTCAATCTATACTTCCGCTTTTCAAATAAAAACGCGTACCTCAAAATTGTCGTGAACTGCGCCTTCAAGTAAAACTAGAGAAAATGAAATGAAACCACACAGACCCAGTGACTTTACATTTTTTGATCCGATTTTTGAATTCCGTGACATGAAAGATGCGGTCCCTCTCATAACCTTCAACCCAGTGGATCTTTGTTAGCCTTCTCACTACCTTTTCTTTGTTTTCTACTTGATTGGTCCTCAATTTGATAAATGCTCACAGCGTTTTTTCTCATATCCAATATTCTTATTGATTGGCGAAAAAAAAGAGAAAGAAGGGCGTCCGGAGAGGAACCGCACAGGGATAGCTTCTATTATTAATGATGGATGAGTTGTGTGGAGTGGAGAGACTAAGTGGTGTCGAAATGCTTCTGCTCCCTGCCTTGGATTATTTCTCTTGATTTTTCGGTGGTTTTGCGATCTTTAGAAGAGGATTATTCCGCTGTGTTAGTGGGTTTTTGGTAGTATAATCGCTTTATGTGACGCGTTTAACAGACCGTTTTCAAGGATCTGAGAGCTGGTACTTCCATCTGGTACTTCTCGCTATGTCCAACGAACTTGTCATGTAGGCCATGAAAAGCCCCAGACGCTCTTGGAATAGTTGATACCAATCCAAAAGCCTGACATGAAATTCTCTGAACCGGACAAGGCCAAAACATGCGATCGCACCGATATTCGATACGCGGCCATATCAGTTCAGTGAAATGAAAATCCCCCCATTTTTCTATAATCTCTTGAATCTATCAGTGCTTAACTTTTATGGGACGAATGATTCGCATACTAAAGCTATCCATGACGTATGACTACTGACAAAGTCTGTGAAGATGTCACTCGGCATTACATCTACTCACAGCTGCCGTTCAAGGCCTTTACCGAAGGACACACGCTCGTACATGTGCGTGTTTCTAGTTACGAATACGAATTGGTGGTTGAGCGGAAAATATTTTGAAAACCAACGAGAATGCGGAAGTCGGGAAGCTAAGTTTGTGGGAAAGGTTCCAGAGAAACCTCTAGGTAACGATGAAGTCGTGAGACCGAACTAACCGGTGGTTCCCGGCCGTCGGACGTGATTGGGAAATTCTATCAAAATGTGCCAGCGGAGGGTGATGGGTGCTCTTATCGTATCAGTGATGCATTTTGGTAGCATTTCCTACAACGAATATGGTACTTACCGTACCCGTTCGCATGGATGAACATTATAACCCATTACGTGTATATGAGATAAACCAAGGATCTCATGAGAATGGATTGCAATCTAGCACGCATCTGTTAATGGTCAAGGTAAAAGACGCAGGGAGCGCACTCCCCTTCTCTGGTTCTTCTCTCATATCCCGACAATCGCGATGCCAGGTTGCGATTAGTAAATTTGGGTGGCCAGCAGGTGGGAAAGTCAAGGCCCTAAGCGTCGACGTTGGTCTAAGCAAACTTTGCCTCCTTTGGATGCAATTTCCTTTTTGAGCAGCTGATAATGATGCATAGTTACTCTACCCACTACCGTAGGTACACCATCTACCCTACGGGAATGGTTCGTAAAGGTGAAAGACGCAGAAAGCAGTCTCTCTCCCTGGTTTCTTTCCCATATTCTGCAACTGGCGACGTCACAATGCGTTTATTAGATTCAGCTGGCCGGCCGGCCGATGATGTCAAGGTCCCATGTGTCCTAAATGGATCTTGCCGTTCTTTAGTGAAGTTTCCTTCGCTGGCTGCTATCTAAGGTATGCTACCTACATTTTTTGAACTCCCTCATGACAACAGGGATGTGAAGCGTGATAGCTTTTTTCGTGAACTGCGGTATGTAGTGATCATTGAACGTTTTCCGCCCGATCAGGGGAGTGCGTGATATTTTTTTCTGCGTGCGTGCGCTCTTAGAAATCTAACGATGCTTCGATGAATGCGTCATTCCGCTTCGCTATAATCTGAGCCATGAACGTTCTCTGGCACGTCTGTGCTGTTGAAAATATAAATAGGTTTTCTCAGAAGAATTCTGTGTTGTCAACAGATAGGAAATTTTGCATTACGATTCCATGAACAGCAAAGAAAATGTATTTTTGCAGAATTTTCTAGAATCTACGTGGAAATCAGGCCAATTAACGTTTCGGAAACCGCAGATACTGCATAGTTATTGTAAAGAATAAATTGAATTGGAACTTGCACATTCCTTTCAATGGAACGAAATTAATCAGTGATCTTTTCACTGACGATCTCATGGAATCATTTAAAAAAAGGCAAAAACTGGGTCATAAAACGCTTATTAAGACCTGAGCCCTTTGAAGCGGACTTGAATCCTGACGATGGAGTGCTTACCACCGTGTTCATAAAATTCTCCACTCAGAGAGCTCTTAGTCAGCTGAAATGAGCAGGAAACCGAAAAAGGGCTCGAAAAAGGTTTCATTCCCTGGGTGGTTCACATCAGCTACGTTTAGGAACCGAGACTCTACTTATCATTCGTAGCAGAGGTATTCAGACCAGCTGAGGGCCAGCTGAGGGCAAATCATGTTCACGTAGTATCGCTCCGTCAACCAAATCGCCCTCTTCTCAGGGTTCTGTTACTTGTTACTAGGTTAATCTGAGTGGATAAAAGCATTGACCTCTGCTCCAACGGCCCACTCGGTTCGTTGTAAATTATAATAATGCGTTCATTATGCCTCTGAGACTCCAGATGGTCGTGGCAGAGAAAAAATACCAATTTCTGCTGAAAATAAAAGCAAAAAATGAGTGGAAGTGTAGGTGGTCTATGCAATGGATTGCTGTGGGCAGCCGATGTACTAGTCGCTGCTTTGTCCTCCTAGGCAAGTCTGGTGCTAATCCGGAGAGATGGAGAGCATTGGTGGCCCGGGTCGATAGCAGTCCATTATTCGACTTTGGAAACATGCATGAGGTAGAGCGCCACTTGGCACTACACACCTCCGTCTTCATGAATATATATTGGGCAAAGAACTTCCCTAACAATCCCAACCATTGGCGGTTTTTTTTTTTGGTTTTAAATGGGTAACGCAGTAGTGTCAATTGATGATTTTCTCAAATTCCTTCCTTCGAAGGTCCCTCCCGATATGGCAACTTCGGTTAAGGGCGTCTCAGTGACTATCGGTTCCGCGTTATCACCGTGCTATCACATGAGCTGAATAATGACTTTCTACTTTATTATTGCTAATCGGTCATCTGAAAAAAGTCACCTCGTGATGCCCGTAACTTCTATTCTTCGATCGGATTCCGATTATAGCCTCACGTGATTTCTCTGAACTCTTGAAGTTTGAACTCACCCCCGTTGCTCATGCATACTACTGCAAGCGGCCGTCATGTGATAAATTGTGGCGGCATACGTTCAGTAATCGTTGGCTGTCAATTTCACCACTTTCGATTTGGCCTTAAGTGTAGACCACGAGTCTTTCGTGTAGGTCACTGATGGCGTGTATCCAATCTGGTGACTCAAACTTGACTGAAAAACATGTGGACGACCAGGAAGTGTCCAATGAATAGGAGTCTTTCAGGGCTACCATTCATTTTGCAGTTTGTCTAGCGTTCTTCGATCCACTAGTACTACCTATCATCACAAGGGTTACTGTATCCATCGAAAACACTTCTTCTTTCTTCAAGAACGGGTCCCTGTCTGTTTCTTTCTCTCTCTCTCTCCCTTTCACAACGAGAACGCGACGACGACGAGTGAATTCGCTGTGATAAGTGGGAAAAAGCGCCGTTAAGATTGCCATACCTAAGGCAAGAATATAGTGTTCTTCCCTGAAATCTAAAGCATTCACTTGTGAAATCGATTCAAATAAATCATCCGAAATGTTTGTACGAATGATAATTTACACAAATTGATCAAGCCGGTA